CCCCCGCCCCAGCCCCGCCACATCGGCCATACCAGACCGGCCGGCCGGCCGCAGACAGGACCGCAGGACACTACCGCAGGCCAGCAGGACCAGCAGGGCGCAGCCACAGCTGCAGGCCGCTATAGCCGTGTCGACCGGCCGCCTGTAGGCCGCCTCGGCCGCCTCCAATCAACGGCAAGCCCGGCTCTGCCCGGCTCTAGCCGAGTGCGACGTCGAGCGACACCAAGGCGACGCACCGCGGGGCACCGCGACGCCCAGTGACGCCCGTCCCGCCGCGCCGTCCCGTCCGGGCCCCGTCGGCCCCGCGCGCGTCCAGCTGGCCGGGCGTCGTCGTCGTCGCCGTGTCCTACCGCCACCCGCCAAGACGCCGTCGTCCTGGCCGCCGCCGCCGCGAGTGCGTGCGCGTGTGTGAGCGTCCTCCTCCGGTCGACGAGGTGGAGGTGATGCCCGACTGGACGACGAGCGGACACGACCGCAGCCATGCCAGCGTGCCGTCCTGACGAGCGCCTCAGGTAGTGCTTCACGCCTCGCTCCGCCTCCTCGCCGAGCCGGCGCGCGGGGGTCATGTCCGTGATGCGGCCCGGGCGGTGACGACGACGACGACGACCCGACCTGCTGTTCTCGCCCACCAGCTCGACCGTCTCCTCTCCCGCGCTGCAGTAATTAGTTGGGCGACGACGACGCGCTGGGCCGCCGCGTGGGTGCGAGGAGGCGGCGAGGCGGCGTCGTGTCGTCGACGGGGACGTCGTGCACTTTGTTTCCACTCTTGTCAGAGACGCGCTGCTATCCATCCGTCACGCGCTCCCGCCTCATTAAGAGCGTGGGGTGGTCGTCCTGGAGAGACGGATGCCGACCGCGCGTGAAGTTAGTCCGAGAGGGACGCCCCTTTCTCCTCCCCCTCGCGCTGCTGGCCGAGGAGTTTCCATAGCAGCGGGCTGCCCTCCTGGCTGACCCACAATGCGACAAGCCCTCGGACGAGCCCCGCACACCGCAGCCACGCGACAACCCCGCTACTACTACCCCCTCCAGCCCCCCTCCTCATCACCCCCTCGCCGCCGTTCAGCATTTCTGCTCGATTCGTGCGTGTGTGTTTTTTCTGCTGTTTGTGTGACTCTTTGTATTTTTGTCCGCGAAAATATGCGGAGATTGACGCCGTCGCCGGGACGGACGAAACGCGTCACGGACAGACGCGCTCTCCTGTGCCTGCCCGGGGGAAGCGCGCGCTGCCCGACAATATATATGTGACAGTTATTCGGCAGACCGCGTGACAGTCGTGCCTTTCTCCCCGATAAATAATTCATGACCGTGGAGGAGTGAAGATACAAAAAAAAGTAGACATGGAAAAAAGGGGGAGGGCGGGGGAGAGGGAGGTAAAGTCGCCAATTTACGAATTCGGGTGACAAAAAGGGAAAGAAAGAACAAATGCGTCCACGCAGTTCGCAGAGTAGCGCTGTAATCAGCCGGCGCAGTGCATCACAAAGGTGGGCGTCACGGAGCACGTCACGGCCCAGTGCGCGATCAGAGAATGAGTCAGGATGCACCGAGAGCTGCAACGAGTGCGGGGAGCTTTGGAACAAGGGACATCGAAACGAATCTGCCGGATGGAAGCTCTCGTAGCGCCCGATGGGTAGGCAACATCGTGCGTGCAGCGCATGGGTGTTCGGCGGGGTGGCCTAACCCAAAGTCTCGCAGGCGCCGAGCTTCCGTAAGTTGTCGAATGAATCGGAGTAAAACAGACTTACTTTCCGGAACGACCCCTTACACGTAGGACGGGGGGCAACCTGTCGGTGCCAGCCCACCCCGCCTCTTATGGTACACCCTGCTCCCCGTTAGTTCCGCACATATCCCTTGCTCGGCGCCCATTTCAAGGCCCACTTGTCTCTCTTATTTCTGCTCATCCCCTTTTACTGCTGTTTACTTTGGGTTTTGTCCCCGCGCCGCTGCCAGATAGCCACACACGCTGGGGCGTAATTTCAACTTTTTGCACTCCCGCTTCTCCCCCCCCCCCTCCCCCCTCCATCCATTCTCACCTGGTGCTCCGCGCTTTTCCTCGCGTTTGTTCGGTTTGTTCTCTCAGCCGTTTCAATGGATCGAACGCGAGCCGGTGTGCAGAACGAGAACACGAGTACGTGCGCAAAAAAGAAAGGATATGGAAGCAAACGTCAAACGGGAGGGGGGGGGGTATTGTACGTTACGTTTTTCACCACCACCGAGGACCGAGGTATTGAATATGTAATAATGACAACTTTTTTGCAGAGTGTATTGTAACCGGTTCGGATGGATAGTGTAAGTAGTCGGACACTGGCCGGGTCCCTATCCGGAAGCAGGCGTTTAGCGCGCCACTGACCGTGGCAATGCCGCCATGATGCCGGCCCCCCTGTGAGTTGCCCCCTCCCCCTTTTCCTCTCTCTCTTGGCCCCTCCTCAGACGGGCCTAAATGCCTCGACTGGGTGACAAGTGCGCGCTGCGCGCCTGCATCGCGGGGCCGGCCAGGGCGAGCAGGCGAAACGGAGAGGAGGCCGGTCAGCAGATTGTTTGTCGAGTGCCCAGCCCAGCCGATGTGGACTGGTCCGGGCCGAATCTCAACCCGCAGAAGTTGGCCGTGTCCGGGGCTAAGCCTTGTCCGGCCTGCCCGCAGGCGGCGGGGTCCCATGCTGCCGCTGCTGCTCCTGCCGCTGCTGCTGCTGCAGCCGACCTGCGGTGGACCGCTGGACTCCCAGCAGCTGGACGCGGCCGCAGCGCCGTCGGCCTCCTCCGCGCCGCTGCGGGGATGGGCGTCGGTCGCCCCCCCAGCCGACGTGGCAGCGCCGGCCACGGCGCCCGCCCCGGGGTCCGTGGCCGCCGTGTGGGATGGAGACCGCTGGCAGGGGCAGGTGCCGTGGCCGCCGCCTCCGCCGCCCCCGGACAACTACCCGCCGCCGCCGCAGCCAACGTACGATCCGAGGCGAGTCCAACACCATCGCCAAACAGTTCCTTTGGAACAAATACAATTTTGTTTGGTCTAAATTAAAAAAAAAAAAATCCAATTTCTTTCGGGAAAGTTTCATAATTTTACCGGAAAATTTTCAGACCTTAATAAATATTGCTAACTACGCCCCCGCTGCCCCGCGCAGGTACTCCTACGGGGACTACGCCGCCGCTCCGCCCCCGGGGCTGCCGCCCCTGCCAGCGCCGGCCCCCGGCTCCATCGACATCGAGTCTGAGGCCCCGCACGGCATCCACGTGGCCAACTGGCGCTGGAACGAGGTGGGGATCTTCTTCACCTTCACGGCCTTCATCGTCATCTGCGGGCTGGCCAAAGTCGGTAAGGTCAACGCCCTAAACGAAACAAAAACTTAAGAAAAAACAAACTCACCGTATAAAAGTAAATAGTGTGAAGCTTTAAAAGGCAGTAGCCAGAGCGCTCGACGGCGCAATCTCACATGCGCCTGCTGCGCCGCTCTCGCGCGATGAGATCAAAGTCGGGCCCTGCAACTTTTCCTCCTCCCACGGCTCTGGCGGGGCGGGACCGCCGCACCACCGGATGGCTCTCAACTTGAAATGAGTATATTTATAATTTAATCCGCGACCCTCGCTCACTTTTGCAAGGTGCCCGGGCCGCTCAGCGGAGAAGAGTAAACCTTGGTCTCGGTCGGTAACCTGGTACGGGGGGGTACCTAGCGCAGCAGCAGCAGCAGCCTGTACCCTAAATGTCCTCCCACGAGCCTCCTGGTGGGCGGAGGGGGCGCCCTTTAATAGCAACCACACGAATCTCACAAAATGAAAAGGTCAAGGAGTCGCCGAGGCCCCTCTTGCACTCCCGGCGCGGCGCCACTAGGCGGGCGGCCCTCTCGTGTTCCTCTGCGCTTTATTTAATCACGCACGCCATGCCGGCCCCCTCATTCCTCCAGGACCTCTTTAAGGTCGTCGTCTTCCAGGACGCGGCATTCCGCGCGGTGTCATCGTCCTCCCTCAGCAGGTGCCCACCTCCAGGACCGGGAGCGCCTGCGTCTGGAGCTGCCCTCCCGTGAGGAAGCCCCGCCGGCCCGCACCAAACCACAGCCCACCCCGCCCCGCCCCGCCCCGCCCCGCCCCCAAGTTTAATTACGCCGGGCCAGACTTCGGCGCAGTTTAGATTGGCGGACAGCACCAAGCCCACCGCCGCCGCCGGAGTCCCTCCGGGTGCCTGCTCCAGAGGCATTCGCGGAAAGACTCTCCCTGGGAACCTTGACCTTTCGGAAACCCCTCTAAACCCGCTCCGCTGTAAATAACTATAGCGGGGTGGTCACACTGGGCGGGCCGCGGAAACCGCCCCTTTCTTGTGACCGTGACCTCCAGGAAGTACCCGGGGACGTTCAGTTGGCCAGGGTCACGAGCCGCTAATTCTGTCTTCTTGTTCCCTTGTTCCAACGACGCACAGCGTTCCACCACGCGCACTGGCTGTCGTCGCGGATACCCGAGTCGTGGTACGTGGTGTAGTTATTGCACTGGTGGTAGTTGTTGTTTCTGACCAGAGCGAACTCGGACTCGACCTAACTCCCTGTCGTCTCCTTGCAGCCTGATGATCTGCGTGGGCGTGGCGGTGGGCGGCGTCCTGTAGTGAGTAGCCCGCGACACCCGCATGCCACCACGCGGCACTCGGCCGAGCACTCGGCACGTGGGCGGCATACACTTGAAACTCCGTGGTTGACGCCGAGCTTGCCAAAATTTTGGCAATATAAGAAAGCGGCCAATAATTTGCAATTTTCAGAAGACGCACACAATTTGGCCACCAAGAGGAAAGAGGGAGTACCAACATTTTGGCAAACAAAAAGGGGTGCCAACATTTTGGTAACCATAAAGGAGTGTCAAAATTTTGGAAAGCTTGGCGACCACGTCGTTCAGAGTGATCCCGCGATCCGTCATTAATTTTCACGTATGCTTGCGCGCCCAACAATGACAATCAGAGGACACCGAAATGACGAAAAAGACTGAGGATGATTGTTATTATTGCAGCCTCTGCGGCGTGCCCGAGCCGGAGAACAAGGAGGACCGCGTGGTCCCGGACGAGTTCCATCTGCCAACCTTCACCCCGCGGCTCTTCTTCCTCATCCTGCTGCCCCCGTGAGCGCCGACAGAGTGCATATTGCATTCATTCAGTTCATACAAGAGCAAAAAGGAAAAGGGGGAAAACACAATGTTTTGTTCTCTGTTTTCGATTTTCAGGGTGATTCTGGAGTCGGCGTACTCGCTTTACAATCGAGCGTTCGCCGTCAACTTGCATACCGTGCTGCTCTACGCCATTGTGGTACGTATCGGTGAAAGAGAAGGGGCAAAAAAAACAACCAACGAGGATACAGTAATGGAATTACTGAGAAAGTTTCCGCGCTCGCGCTCGAGAGGAGAGAGAAAGAGAGAAGAGAGGCGCGCAGCAGAGCTACCCCAGCTACCCGAACACCCACCCATACGCTTTTGTCCCGGCGGGTTCTTTTCTCCCGCATGGAGCCCCAGAGCAGCCGAGTTGTTACCGGATCGCAAGGGAACCTAATTATGTCGAGGCTCGGCTTGTGCGGAGCTCTGCTCTGCGGCCGTGTGTAGGGTTAGGGGTCCGGCGGACCCCGGGAGGCCCCGGAATGGGGAGCGTAGGGGGAGGCCGCTTTCCCCCGACGACGCCCCGCCAGGCCCCGCCGGGGGATCAAGGTGGTACAAAACGCCGGCCCGTCTTGTCCCGCCCGCCCCACAGCCCCACACGGCCGCCCGCTGACTTTACAAGCGTTACGACCGGCCCTGGCCGAGGCCCTGGCGCCGCCACGCGGTGCCTTCCAAAGCCAAGGCCGGAGGCCGGATATGCCTCGTCTCCGGCCTATCCTCTCCCCCAACAGCCCCCCTCTCTCTCTCTGCTTTCCTCTTGGCGGCCCCACCCCCCGCGGCCTCGGGCCCAGACCTCCCGCCGGGAGCTCCAAACTGAAATGCTGCGCCAGGGATGATCAACAAGTCAAGAGATCCGACGCCACGCCCCGTCGTGCGCGGGAGAAAAGAGGAAAGGAGAGCGCAGCGAATGGAGACAAAGCGGGGAGAGGGACAGAGATAAGAAGTATGGAAACGAGAATTGGGTCCGTGGGTGGGGCTGGGGTTAGGAGGGCGGCGGGATGAAGAGAAGAGCGCGCGGTCTATTTTCGCGGTCAGATTTTATTGTTATGTAAAGCGGAGCGAGTCCGCGCTAAGACCCGACCCTTTTGTGTTTGCAGGGCACCTTGTTGAACACGTTCACCATCGGTGAGTGTATGCGTCGCGGCGGCGGCAGCGGAGGCTCGCGGAGAGTCTCTCTCTCCCTCTCGCGAGTGAATGGCGCCTGATCAAGCCTACGGCGCCTACGACGGCGGCGCGGCGTTACTCGTTACTAATTACAGCGCCTTTCATAATAATGTAGCCTTTCTCGCGCGCGCATGGGGTCGTCATGATGACACCAGCCGCTGGTACTCGAAAGGGGCGCTGGCGGGGTGGCTCTCTTGACGACCCCGCCGCCGACCCCTTCCTAGAGGGCTACCTTCCTTTAAATCCGAGCAAACACAACTTTCTCTGCCTTTTCCTGATTTTTGTTTGTTTTGATTTTTTTTTACGAGTTTTCCTTGATTTTTTCTCAATTTTTTAAAGAGGTTGTTCACTAATTTAGAAAAGTACCCCTCGACTCTCCTTGCCCACCACGAGTAAAGTCACCATGACCAACCCCCACCGCAGGCCTGATGCTGTACGCGCTGTCCGAGGCCGGCGCCATCGGCCGCCTGCCCGTGGACTCGGGCAGCTCCGTGCACGTCACCCTGCCCGACTGCATGGTGTTCTCGGCGCTCATCTCGGCCGTGGACCCCGTGGCCGTGCTCGCCATCTTCCAGGAGGTGGGCGTTAACCAGGACCTGTACTACCTCCTGTTCGGCGAGTCGCTGCTGAACGGTAACTGAATGCATATGACCCAGCAAGAATTGAAAAAATAATGAAAAATTACAACGTGGAAAATTTTTAAAAGGAAAAAGGGAAAAACTTTGAAAAAGAAAACACACTTTTACTTCAGACGCCGTGACTGTGGTGCTGTACACCACGATGGTGACGTTCGCCGAGCTGCCAGAGGTTCACGGCGAGCAGTACGTCCTGGCCGTGCTGGCCTTCTTCACGGTGAGCCTGGGCGGGCTGTCGCTTGGGGTAGTGTTCGGGCTGGTGACGGCGCTGCTCACCAGGACCACGGAGGAGGTCAGAGGTGCGTCGATGAGAGACGGTGTCGGAACATTGCGAAACGAAAAGGCCACATTAGTTCCGATAACCGTTCACACCGTGTCTCATATGGTGCATTGCAGTGGTGGAGCCGCTGGCCGTGCTGGGGATCGCCTACCTGTCGTACATCACGGCAGAGCTGTTCCACTTCTCCGGCATCATCAGGTGGGTTGTTGCGCACGAATTACTCGTCAGGTGTCACCGCCAGCCGCCAACTGCACGGCAGCTCAGCGCCGCCGCCAGTGCTGCTCATGCATATGGAGATGAAGCTTACTGCTGCTCCCGCCGGGGGTTTTCGCGTTTATTATTTTATGCTGAATGTGATTATTACTCTCGTCTGGTATTATTATCCTCCCTCTTTTGTCTGCCGCGGCCAGCATCATCGGCTGCGGTCTCGCGCAGTCACACTACGCCCTGAGGAACATCTCCAGCAAGTCCTACACCACCGTCAAGTACTTCACCAAGATGGTCAGGTGAGGCGATACCGCCGCCAGAGTTAGTGCGGCGCGGCGTAGGGTTATGAAAGCCGTGGAAAATTTCCGAAACTTTTTCCAAAAAACAAAAAAAATTCTGGGTCTGGAAAATTTTTAGTTTTCCTGAAATTTTCCGATTTTTCCGAAAATTTTACAGAAGGGCTTTTAAGGCATCCAAGCCTAGTCCGGTGCTCGTGCCTTTGCAAACGCGGGCGCATTGCACCTAGCACCCGCCCAACACCACCCCGCCAGAGGATCCGCCTCCCACGAGGACGAGGAACAGAGTCTCGCATGACCTCGAGACGACTAGAATAGGGATCGAGGGCCGGAAATTTAAGCCATATTTTTCAATGCATGGAAAAATATATTTTGTTGTCTTTTTTAAGTGGTTTAGGCGGTTGCTAACAGCTTCTTCTACCTTTTGGGGTGGCACGGATGAGAGATTAAACTTATTTTATTGATGTTTTGTTTCACAAGTACTTTCTAGCAATGAATCATAAAGAAAGTTTCAGTTTCAGTCTCTAATTCGCACTTGTCAAGCTC